TTGACCGTTGAACTGTTACTCATCAATAGGCAGAGATTAAATATTATATGATGCATAAATTTTTGCCACATCATGGAAAATAGTTACAGTTCCAAAAGCAAACTTACATAGCTTTAAAAATAAAGAAAATTTCTAAAAACAATGTCAGTTTGATAGAAAATTAAAAAAAAAAAAAAAGAAACTTGACTAACGATTATAGCAAGACAAGAATTTTGAATATTACAGTAAGCCTAAATTTACATTATGAAAATTATCTTAGGACTAACACACAATCATTAGTCAGTAAATCCCAGTGGTAAATCCCGGTTGTTTTGAGTTAGGATTTTGGTCCCGTTTTCAAATGATGTACTGTACATATCTGTGTTCACAGGCGCTGGGAGATTAGTTGAAAGTGCTCCAGGAATTTCAAGAATTGGAAAACTGTTGATCCAAGATATAGCGTGAAATATATAAAGTAATCAATTTATGTTTACCTTGTAAAAATTAACTGGATATATAGAACCTAACCACCAATTAGTTGTTTAAAGAATATTTTCCACCCTGGTTTCAGCTTTCAGACATAGCCAATTTGAGGGGAAGAAATTGTCCAATTTGTGAGGAGGAAACAGCTCATTTTTAGTGAAGGATATTTCCAAATTTTAACTGAATGCAATTCAGTTTGGGGAAGGAATACTTGCAAAATTTGAGACAGCTAATGAGCATTCAATTTGCTGAATGACACTGCCCAATTTTGGTGAGACAGAAGAGGGATGAGCTGCTTATGGATATTTAGTTTCAGAAGAAACTGTTCAGTTTGTAAGGAAAAAATACCCAATTTGAGAGAGCAATTATCCATTTACCATCATTATATTCAGTATAGATCATGCAGTACCTGGGGAAATAGGAAGCAGTCATGTTTGATCTAAAGGGAGGTCAGATCAAATTCCCTGAATCTAGAGCCCCCTCACCAGAGCATCATAAAACCTTCTTTAAGGCGAGAAGCCCTGTGCAGTCTTGGAAAAGGATATTATTTCTCTTTGAAAAACATTATTCCATTTGGAAAAGGACTACTAATGTTTAGGATGAGCATTAGCCATTGGAAATAGTATGTAAAACTACTTGTTGAAGGTACACTGCTCAGTTTTGGAAGGGATCCTCTTTGTAATTTTGCAAGGAACACTGCTTAGTTTGTGGTGATCAGTGTTCATTATAGGCCATTATTGCCTGGTTTTGGTGGTTGATGTCCAGTATCAGGGATATAATGCCAAATTTGGGGAGGGTAATTCCCATTTCAGAAATGGAATAATTATCAGTGTTTGGAGCAATACAAAATAAAATTTAAAAACATGCATAATTTGGAAGGATAGTAGGCATTAATTTGTGGTGATAATGGTCAATTTGGGATACAATACCAATTAACTATCTCTTAAGTGTTTTAGTAAAACACTGATGAATTGTTACGACTTAAATATTCGTTTCTAAATGAGCACTTTGCTAGGCAGCAAGTACACCTGAACTGAGGAAACCATCTACAACTCCAGTAGCAGGCAAGTGTACATTGGTTTCTTTCTTCCCTACTGAGAATCAGAGGGACAAGAAGTTGATTTTTACAAGTGTCTTTGTTAATGCCTAGAAATAAAAAATCTTAAGCTGGAGCTGGCATAGAAAATTTGGAAGAAATGTGTGAAAATTATTTAATATGTTTGTAAACCCTACACTAGAGGGAAAAGATTTTTGATTCAAGGAATTAAACCTGCTTTTTCTTCCCCAGATCACCCCTGATTATGTCTCACTCCCCAGGCACTATATGACTCTAGCTTTAACACTATCACTAAAATACAATTATAATGTAATAGAACCCCTGCCCATCAGAATAAATTATTTACATATTTTTGTGTAATTTAGCATGCACTATATCCTCTGGGTCAGTACAATATTCATTCTTTATGTATTCCATGTAGTATTTGTTTCAAAGTTAGAAAAAAAAGAAAAGATAAAATTAGTAAAAATATTATGCCAAAAATACTAACATCAATGTGCTGTATTGACTTTCAAAAATACAAGTGCAACCATTCCAAAAATATTCAAGAAAAATACACTAAAATTACAAAAACACAGCAGATAACATGACTAGCACTTGTATACATCTACTGTACATAACACAAAGTACACATCATGTTCAAGTTATAATAAATTATTATTAACATGACGTTAAATCAAAATAATAACTTCCATTTATTTAATGTGCATAATTCTTCATATATAATATATATATATATATATATATATATATATATATATATATATATATATATATAATATATATATATATATATATATATATATATATAATAATTATATATATATATATATATATATGTGTGTATATATATATGTGTGATAATATATATAATGTGTGTGTATATATATATATAATATGTGTGGTATATATATATATGTTGTGTATATATATATATATATATATATATATATATATATATAATAATATATATATATAATATATATATAGTGTGTATATATATATATATATATAATATGTGTATATTGTGTGTATATATATATGTGTGTGTATATATATATATATAAATAGAAGTGTATAGTATATAATAGTATAATATATATATATATATATATGATATATATATTATAAATATAAAATATATATATATATATAACATAATATATATAATATATAATAAAATAATAATAATGTCATAAGACCATAGAGTATTACTATAGGTTAATATTTCGGTAATATAAATGCTCTACCTTGTTACGTAGTTAAGCCTTGATGTAATGTACTAATGGGGGAAGGGGAGGGAGGAACTGGCTGACCAGTAATTGTGATTGTGTTGTTTCTGTCTTGCAGCAACAGTAACAACAAACAGTTCTGTAACCACCACACTTTGTCCGTTGTTTCCAAATCGACCGACTTGGCAGAATTTTTCCTGCATTTCCTAAGTTCATTAAATCAAGGGTTGACTAATACTGTGCTAATATCCTAAGATAAAATCTATGGAATAATTCTATGAATAGTACTAACACTAAAACTAACTCTTGGATATGTAATACACATAGCCTAATTTATTACGTTTGGGCCAACATATACATAAAAACTCGTAGTAGCTAATTTATTTATTAATCGTAACTTAAATTTGTACATAGTACATCAATTATTGTAACTTCTATTCCTCTGCTTACACTTTATACATACTGATGGTAAATAATTCATTAATACAATACTGCCTACTACTATTGCACTACTCTACCACTATTACTGCAGTATGGCTCCAAGTTTTAATACTAGTGCTACATTTAATATACAGTGGACCCCTGCATAACGATTACCTCCGAATGCGACCAATTATGTAAGTGTATTTATGTAAGTGCGTTTGTACGTGTATGTTTGGGGGTCTGAAATGGACTAATCTACTTCACGATATTTCTTATGGGAACAAATTCGGTCAGTACTGGCACCTGAACATACTTCTGGAGTGAAAAAATATCGTTAACCGGGGGTCCACTGTAACTATTTGTATTATTACTTCAAAATCTTGTCTCCACAGTTTTTACTCGTCATGCAAGGACCTGCATCGGGAAAGAATTTCATCACACTGTGCTGTATTCTAAAAATTTAAGGTTTTGGACTAATCCCAATTCAAGTATCTCGCATCAATTCAGATACTGCCATCAAGCTGTCTCAGTTGTCTATCAAGTTGATTAATCTACCTAGGTAAGTACTTTCTCTTTTTTTATTTATTTTGAATATCCTTTTAATTGTAAGTACATTTTGGCTATGACAATATATATAAAACTTGTGATATTGTTTATTTTATTCTAGTAAATAAACTATTTATAATGAAAATATTTAATTTTATGTATAGATTTTAGTAGTTTAATATTCAACCTGCCAACACCTGTGATGATTAAGTAAATTTCTTGACATACAATATTAAAATAAAGATAAGATTTAATCTTAAAATGAATCCGTTTCTTCAACATAAGCATGCAACAGGACAAAAATCTTAATAGTGCCATTTTAAAGACATCTCCAAGATAAAAATACATTCTTCTACCATGAAGAAAGAGTTCCATGTAATATATGTAAATCAAGTTCTCAAAGGAAAGAAAAAAATGAGAAGTTGAAGGAATAAGCTTTTACTTAAATATGCAGTGACCAAATGTTAATTTTTCATTGTGAAATGGTTATATAGAATATTTTGGTTATCTCTGTGTAACCCATATGGGTTTAGTGCTAGTCTTTTAACATATTGTAATAACATTTTTGGATCTATATGTAGATAGTATGGAACATATTACTGCATTTAATTTTAAATGAATATTCACAATGAAAAACAAAAGTTTAAGAAAAAAATTGCAAACAGTAATATGAATGAATATTAGAAAAATGGCACCAGCACTCCACACACCCTCATGAGACAGCTCTGGTGACTGGCAGATTCCTCAGCAAGGGTATTTTAAAACCTCATGCTGCAATTCAGCAAATCACTTGAGACCCTATATGAACCCATCAAAATTGTGGCTGTTCTAATTAAGGGCCAGAAGTAGATTTAAAAAAAATTATGCCTGTTTATTGAACTCTTGGGTTCATGAGCTGTGACATGAGGTGAACGCTAGGTGATGATGAATGTGTTGGGTGGACTGTGTATAAGCTTTGCATAGGCCTATATGACTGCATCAATGAGAAAGAGGCCTGTATATTGTAATTCTTGTTTTCTTTGCACTCAAAATAAATCTACAGCTATTTTCTAAATTGTATAATTATTTATATACAGTATTCCCATGCTGTACATCAAATATTTTCTCTCTGAAGGGGTTTTAACGTTAATTTTGACTTGAGACAACGCTTCCATGTAGATCACATCGTAAACCTACATTAGATACAGGCCTCTCTTCCAAGGCTGTCTGCCACATTTTCCACCTACACCTTTTCACCCCCACAATCATCAACATCACATAATACAACCTCTGGGATTTACCTGAGAATGAGTATCCCATGTAGCTTATACCTGACGACCCTCTGCGGGAGAGGAAGTCCTCAGCACTGGAGGACATGCGAGTGTCATGGATCTTAACATTGGGCACAGGAGAGAAGGGCGAGAGGGACATGTTATCAGAGCTAAGTTGGTGACGCAAAAGTCTCTTCTCACCCGGGCTGCTTGCCAAGCTCAGGTTGTCTAATTTCAACTTGTTCCGCTGTTGTCTGTGAATATATATTATAAATATATATATATATATATATATATATATATATATATTTATATATATATATATATATATATATATATATATATATATATATATATAATATATATATTTAATATCAACTATACATACTAATACAACTATTAGCAGTAACATGAAGAGATTCTGGAAAAACAATTAGCAGGACACTAATCCTGAAGGTGGGAAATACAGTGTCTACTGTCTGAAAGATAAGTTTGGGATATTGCAGTTCAGAGCGGTTATTTGAATTATGGTGTCCATGCACTTCTTGCAAGACAGCTATTGGGTCACCATACCTTAGTGGAAAATGGTAAATATATATAAAAAGTAATAACATACACTACCTAGGAGTTTGTTCCACAACTCTGTTGCCAAACAACTTCTTCCCTGTATCCTTTCTAAATCTAAATTTCACCACCTTCAATTCATTACCATGAGTCCTCTCTTGGTTAGATATTTTTAACTTGCTGTTTATATCCCCTGTATTCTTGTTTTCCATTTGTACACTTCAGTCATAGATTCCCTAATTCTATGCCTTTCCAGAGAGTGCAAGTTTAGTGTCTTCATAGGAAAGGCTTCTAATAAATGGGATCAAGTTTGTCATCCTTCTCTGTATATTTTCCAGTGCATTTATGTCTATTCTGTAATATGGAAACCAGAAATGACTAGTATAATCTAAATGAGACTCCAGCTATATATCTTTTATATAAAGTATAACTTAAGGTCTTCTATTATTTATATTTCTTGATCTTCTTTCAACAAACTGGCTGTATCCCACCAAGGCAGGGTGGCCCAAAGAGAAAAAACACGTTTCTCTTTCTAGCTTTAGTAATGTATACAGGAGAAGGGGTTACTAGCCCCTTGTTCCCGGCATTTTAGTCGCCTCTTACAACACGCATGGCTTACAGAGGAAGAATTCTGTTGCACTTCCCCATGATATGAAGCCAAAAATTCTTTTAAGCTTTCTTGAGAGTACTTATACACTCTTGTCTTGGCTTTAAATTTCTGCTGAACAGGACTCATGGTATTGCCACCAGTTATGTAAAGAGGAAGAGTTTCCACATCTATTCTGTGATAGGGCTGTAAGGCTGGCTTTTGTAATACGATTGATTTTTGGTAATTATTATTTATCTCTAAACATGTATACTACAACAGTGCACGACACAGAAGCAAGCAGAGGTATATACAGAGAAAAGCCACAGTCACCAAGATTTGAAACCACATGTGGGGAGTAGTATAGCTCCCCACACTTGGTTTCAAATTTTGCTGACTTGTAGTATTTCTCTGTATATATACTACAAGTGAGATAGGAATAGGTTATTGTGAAATACCATATTAGAGTATACTGTAATTTAAGGTGTACTGTAGCAAATCTTAAAAATATATATTTACTACCTGTGAAACATTAAACCCATGTGAGTCTTATCATTCAAACAGCATTTAATATTTTATGTACTAAACCCAGGTACTCTTTAGGTATGCTTACCTGTCAATATGGTCAAGCATCTCATGAATAGTCTGGAGGAGGAAGCTGAACTGGAGGAGATTAAGGGAAGGACTGATGGTGAGAGGCAGCAGTGAGGGCAAGATGCGGGTAGCCAGCAAGTTAACACTTAGTCCAAACTTCTTCACACCCAGCATCAACCGGTAGATGTCTACAAGAAGATAAAGGCATAAGATAGCAGGTCAGTCCAAACATCTTCAGTGTCTGAAATTGTTTTTAAAAACTTCCAATTGGTGTGGGCACCAGGTCATTCATCACTGTTAATAATAATACATACATGTATACCAAGCAAGCATACCACACAAAAGCAACAACCAACCCCCAAAATATGAAATAATAATGTTAACAAGTTCATAATAAAAGAATATGGCTACATTAGGTTCAACACAGTCTGCATTAATTTAAAAATCTCTATCATTAACAATAGAGGAGAGACAAGATCATTCACAATGTGATTGAGTTGTTGATATGTTGAGTGTGGTCTTGTTTGGTTACAGGTACCTGTGACCACTTTCAAAAGTTCTCATTTCCATATTGATGACAGACTTCATTGTTGACTGCCTTGTCAGCCAAGCTGTTCCAGCCTGCAGGCGTACATTACCATTGTAACCTGCTGGTTTCACTCACTAGCTTCAGGTAGATGCTCAAACTTAGGCACGCAAATTCAAAATATTGCATTACAATTTTCAGAATCAATGTATTGTAGATAGATATTACTTAGAGTCGATATCTGGCTCCACTCTACCTGATCACAATTACCCCTCCCCCTCCCTCTGGGTATGGTGCTTCTGAGTCGAAAGACAGCATGAAGTCAAAGAAGCCTCCTTCATTCTGGGATGTAACACTGAATAACCCAGGTGCAAATCTTCCCATTTTATTTTTTATTTTATTATCACACCGGCCGATTCCCACCAAGGCAGGGTGGCCCGAAAAAGAAAAACTTTCACCATCATTCACTCCATCACTGTCTTGCCAGAAGGGTGCTTTACACTACAGTTTTTAAACTGCAACATTAACACCCCTCCTTCAGAGTGCAGGCACTGTACTTCCCATCTCCAGGACTCAAGTCCGGCCTGCCGGTTTCCCTGAATCCCTTCGTAAATGTTACTTGCTCACACTCCAACAGCACGTCAAGTATTAAAAACATTTGTCTCCATTCACATCCTATCAAACACGCTCACACATGCCTGCCTGGAAGTCCAAGCCCCTCCACACAAAACCTCCTTTACCCCCTCCCTCCAACCCTTCCTAGCCGACCCTACCCCGCCTTTCCTCCCTACAGACTGATACACTCTTGAAGTCATTCTGTTTCGCTCCATTCTCTCTACATGTCCGAACCACCTCAACAACCCTTCTCAGCCCTCTGGACAACAGTTTTGGTAATCCCGCACCTCCTCCTAACTTCCAAACTACGAATTCTCTGCATTAATTCACACCACACATTGCCCTCAGACTAGACATCCCCCACTGCCTCCAGCCTTCTCCTCGCTGCAACATTCATCACCCACGCTTCACACCCATATAAGAGCGTTGGTAAAACTATACTCTCATACATTCCCCTCTTTGCCTCCAAGGACAAAGTTCTTTGTCTCCACAGACTCCTAAGTGCACCACTCACTCTTTTTCCCTCATCAATTCTATGATTTACCTCATCTTTCATAGACACCATCGCTACCCCACACGTCCACTCCCCAAATATCTGAATACGTCTCCTCCATATACTACTCTCCTCCAATCTGATATTCAATCTTTCATACTAATCTTTTTGTTATCCTCATAACCTTTACTCTTTCCTGTATTCACCTATTAATTTATCTTCTTTTGCACACCCTACCAAATTCATATCCCCAATCTCTGCAAACTTCTCTTCAGAATCTCCCAAGAGCACAGTGTCATCAGCAAAGAGCAGCTGTGACAAACTCCACTTTGTGTGTGATTCTTTATCTTTTAACTCCACGCCTCTTGCCAAGACCCTCGCATTTACTTCTCTTACAACCCCATCTATAAATATATTAAACAACCACGGTGACATCACACATCCTTGTCTAAGGCCTACTTTTACTGGGAAAAAATTTCCCTCTTTCCTACATACTCTAACTTGAGCCTCACTATCACTCGTAAAAACTCTTCACTGCTTTCAGTAACCTACCTCCTACACATACACTTGCAACATCTGCCACATTGCCCCCCTATCCACCCTGTCATACGCCTTTTCCAAATCCATAAATGCCACAAAAACCTCTTTTAGCCTTATCTAAATACTGTTCACTTATATGTTTTCACTGTAAACACCTGGTCCACACACCCCCTACTTTCCTAAAGCCTCCTTGTTCATCTGCTAATCCTTTCTCCGTCTTACTCTTAATTCTTTCAATTATAACTCTACCATAACTTACCAGGTACACTCAACAGACTTATCCCCCTATAATTTTTGCACTCTCTTTTATCCCCTTGCCTTTATACAAAGGAACTATGCATGCTCTCTGCCAATCCTAGGTACCCTTACCCCTTCCATACTTTTATTAAATAATTGCCCCAACCACCCCAAAAAACATATCCCCACCTTTTTTTAAAACATTCATCTTTATCCCATCAATCCCGGCTGCCTTACCCCCTTTCTTTTTTACCTACGCCCACAATTTCCCCCCACACTCACAACTGCTCTTTTCCTCCCCACAAGATGTTATTCCTCCTTGCCCAAACCGAAAAACAGCTTCCTATCTTCATCAACATTTAAAATTCCCAAAAAAATTCCTTCCCACTTCCAATACCCTAACTCTCCATTTAATAAATCTCCTCTCCTATTTTTAAATGACAAATCCATTTTTTCTCTAGGCTTTCTTAAATTGTTAATCCACTCCAAAAAATTTTTTTTTTTTCAAAAAATTTGTTTATAACTCTCACCCCACTCTCTCATTTCTCCTTTTTTCATTTCTTCACCCCTTTAATTCTCTCTTTTTTCTTAATTTCCCCTTGCAAAACTTCTCTTTGTAAAAACTTTCATATGCTAACTTTTTTTCCCTTACTACCCTTTACATCATCATTTCCCCCAATCGCTCCTCTCCTCCTCACCCACTTTCCCGTAAACCCCAAACTTCTGCGAACACTCTAACCTACATTTTTAAACCTACCCCATACCCCCTTGCCCCATTTCCTATCTCTCATTAGCCATCTATCCTCCAATAGCTGTTTATATCTTTCCCAACGCCTCCCTTTTTGTTTATAAACCTTTTACCTCCTCTTCCCGATGCTTCTATTCTCCTTTTATCCCCTCTACCTTTTTTCTCTCATGGCTACAACTAGAAAGTGATCTAATATCTGGGCCCCTCTATAAAATGTACATCCTGAAGTCTACTCAAAGTCTTTTTTCTACAATACATAATCCAAAAATACTGTCATTTCGCCCTACATCATATCGTGTAAAACTTATTTATCCTCTTTTTCTTAAAATATGTTTCCCTATAACTAAACCCCTTTCTATACAAAGTTCAATCAAAGGGCTCCCTTATCATTTACACCTGGCACCCCAAACTTCCCTACCACACCCTCTCTAAAGTTTCTCCTACTTTAGCATTCAAGCCCCTACCACAATTACTCTCTCACTTGGTTCAAAGGCTCCTATACATTCACTTAACATCTCCCAAAATTCTCTCTCTCTCCCCCTGCTTTCCCTCTCTTCTCCAGGTGCTTTACACGCTTATTATGACCCACTTCTCCCCATCCAACCTTTACTTTAATCCACATAATTCTTGAATTTACACATTCATATTCCTCTTTTCTCCTTCCATAACTGATCATTTAACATTACTGCTACCCCCTTCCTTTGCTCTAACTCTCTCAGATACTCCAGATTTAATCCCATTTATTTCCCCCCACTGAAACTCTCCTACCCCCTTCAGCTTTGTTTCGCTTAGGGCCAGGACACCCAAACTTCTTTTCATTCAAAACATCAGAAAATCATCTTTTTTCTTGTCATCCGCACTACATCCACGCACATTTAAGCAACCCAGTTTTATAAAGTTTTTTCTTTTTCTCTTTTTTAGTAATTGTATACAGGAGAAGGGGTTACTAGCCCATTGCTCCCCGGCATTTTAGTCGCCTCATACGACACGCATGGGGTTACGGAGGAAAGATTCTTTTCCACTTCCCCAGGACAATAGAAGAAATAAAAAAGAACAAAGCATTTAGAAAAAGGAGAAAAACCTAGATGTATGTATATATATATATGCATGTGCGTGTCTGTGAAGTGTGACCAAAGTGTAAGTAGGAGTAGCAAGATATCCCTGTTATCTTAGCGTGTTTATGAGACAGAAAAAGAAACCAGCAATCCTACCATCATGCAAAACAGTTACAGGTTTTTGTTTCACAGTCATCTGGCAGGACGGTAGTACTTCCCTGGGTGGTTGCTGTCTACCAACCTACTACCTACTTCCCATTATATAATTTAATTACAGTCACAGACCCCTACACAGTACCACCACTACACAATCAATACTTGAAGAACTGAGACACTTATGCAACATATGGGAATCTTTATTGAAGAAACGTTTTGCCGCACAGTGGCTTCATCAGTCCAATACAAAGTAGAAATGGGTAAGGAGAGGAGTTTGAGGTAATCAGTCCCTCAACCTGGAATTGATGTGTTCAGTCCATTACTCTTGTAGGAAGTACAGCATAGGGCCAGTGGGACCTGCCACTATTGTAAGTAGGTCGTCATCCTAAGGTTGGACAAGCGTGGAAGTCTTTGTACCAAGATCCCATGATGTTGCAGTGTCTGACAGATGTGATGAATGGTTGGAAAACCGACAACTTGAAGAATTGAGACACTTATGCAACATATGGGAATCTTTATTGAAGAAACGTTTTGTTTCTTCAATAAAGATTCCCATATGTTGCATAAGTGTCTCAATTCTTCAAGTTGTCGGTTTTCAAAACCATTCATCACAATCAATACTACTACAATATCACTAGTAGTACAACCAGAATTCATTGCCATTACCATACAGTCACTGGAGAAAAAACATTTACAGAGAGGAACTTTATTTAGGAGTTTCACCTGTGAAAGGCTTTAGTCAGTACACAGATGGACAATAAGTATATTTATATACATGTACAAGCATAGGTAAGCAGCTGGGTCACTGAGGGTGATGT